TGATCTCTTGTCTAGAAAATGTGCCTTATTCCATAAATCTTGGAGCTGACTAGGTCTGAGTTAAAGGCTCTTGCCTTGAACCTGATCTGATCTCTTGTCTAGAAAATGTGCCTTATTCCATAAATCTTGGAGCTGACTCCAGAGGCCCCGCTGACTTTCTTTCCCGAAAAAGGCAATTTGGAGACAAGCCTCTAATTAATTATATCAGCAGAACTTTCTCCAGAACACGTCAAAGTATGGCCTCAGTTAAAAGAGTCCCTTTCTCTAAAAATGCATATTTACTAGGGTTATTTTGCAAGGGTGTGTGTGTCAGACTTAGCCTGAACAGATTTCACTTGTCATGACAGATAAGGACTGAAAGAAGAACAGAAAGGCATTTTTAATCTCCAAAATTCACTCTCTCGGACACCAACGCTCAAAGCTTATATATTAAAACCGGAAGAGCAAGCGTGGACCTGTATTAGCTGGTTGTCACAATCAATTATTGACTGTGACAGCAAACAAAAGTTGGTGTTATCTGCTGAAGATGTGATAAACTGGTCCATACAGACCATGAGGTGAAAACTCAACAAGGTTTAGGGGTCGGCCTTCCAAAAGGTATCTTTACATTCTTCAGTTGCTCCCTTGGAATCAAGCACTATCAATGCTAGGGTGAATAGATAAAAAAAAAATACGAGTAGAGATGAGATGTTTGGATTTTCTGTTGTTGTTTAGTCATTTAGTCATCTCCGACTCTTCGTGACCCCATGGACCAGAGCACGCCAGGCCCTCCTATCTTCCACTGCCTCCCAGAGTTGGGTCAAATTCATGTTGGTCGCTTCGACGACCCTGTCCAGCCATCTCGTCCTCTGTCATCCCCTTCTCCTCTTGCCTTCACACTTTCCCAACATCAGGGTCTTTTCCAGGGAGTCTTCTCTTCTCATGAGATGGCCAAAGGATTGGAGGCTCAGCTTCAGGATCTGTCCTTCCGTGAGCCAGATGAAATATGGTTCATCTGGGCAAAAGACCATACAGCACCCAGAAATCTTGGCCACGCTAGATAGCGGTAAAGACTTCAGTCCAATAACATCTGGGGACCCAAAGTTGGGAACCATTGACTTAGATCTTCCAGCAGCTTCTGATCCCATCAACCACAGTATTCTTCCGGGAAGGTTATTGATTTTACTGATCAGGGGTTCTGCTCTTCATTGGTTCTGATCCTTCCGTGAACGCTGATCCCAGATGACACAGCTTGGGGGCTTTGTTTTGACCCCTTCCCCTGTGGGGTCCTTTCCCAGTACTTTTTCAGTATCTGAATCAAATCCCTATTATGGGAATAAAGTCGGTTGTCGGTTGTGGAGTTTTACTTGTTTGTGCACCCCCTAGAGTAGTGTGAATTCACTAGTTGTTCATTTGTTCATCAATCAGCCAACAAAAACAAGAAAGCTGTTTATAAGAAAAAGGATCTCCTTAGCTAGAAGGGAAGGGACCATCTGGTGGTTTGTTTTGCCCTGTCGTCCAGAGAAGGGTCAGCAAATCTTTTCCAGAAAAGCTTCTCTGGGCCCTCCCTGGTTATTTTCTGCAAAGCTAGTTCGGGTTTTCAATTCTGAGTACATTTTTGCACAGGTGTTTCATTTATGTAAATCATTCCAAAAACACTCCCATAGAGGAAAAGATTATGCTTGCAATTGACTTTAAAATCAGACAGTATTTTTCAAGAAGAGTAAAACGCAAGGGTGGCCCTATAGACGGCAGATCATTCCCTTTGATGTGGCTACGCTATTAACTTTCCCTTCCCTTCACACATAAGGGAGTTCTCAATATTTGTGTATTTATTTTAGATTTATTGACTGCCTTTGAACTCTCGAGCCAGCATGTAATAAAATATAGTTAAGACGCAGCCCAGATCAGATTGGGGAGAAATTCAGCCGGTAGATGTTGCCAAACAATATTGTAACCGTCTTAATATTAACAACATAGATTTATATGGAATAATACAAATAAAAATGGCAAGTCTCTCCCTCTTTGGCCTCACAGTCCAGATGTTGACTGCACCTGGCAGATGTCTTCACCCTAATTCTCTTCATATGTTTAGACCAGTGGTTCCCAACATTGAGTCCCCAGATGCTTTTGGACGAAAACTCCCAGAAGCCTTCACCACTAGCTGTTCTGGCTGGGATTTCTGGGAGTTGTGGTCCAGTAATCTCTTTGGACCCAAGGTTGGGAACCCCTGTTTTAGACTACAGCTCGCATGATGTATTACTGTTTAGCACATTAGCTGGTAAAAAGTTTCAGCTCAAAATATCTTAAGGATACGAGGCCAAGAAAGTGTAGGATGGGGTAATATTAACCAACCTAGTACCCTCTAAATGTATGAGACTGCACTTCCCACTTCCCTAGTTAGACGGACGTGGTGGCGCTGCAGGTTAAACCGCAGAAGCCTCTGTGCTGCAAGGTTGGAAGACCACGCGATGGAGTGAGCTCCCGTCACTTGTCCCAACTCCTGCCAACCTAGCTGTTCGAAAGCATGTCAAAATGCGAGTCGATAAATAGGTACCACCTCGGTTGGGAGGTCATGGCATTCTGTGTCTAGTCGCGCCAGCCACATGACCACGCAAACTGTCTTTGGACAAATGCTGGGTCTATGGCTTGGAGACAGGGATGAGCACCACCCTCTAGAGTTGGTCACGACTGGACCCAATGTCAAGGGGAACCTTTACCTTTAACTAGTTAGCATGGCTATTGGGACAGCCGGCACACGGAGATGATAGATCTTGAAGGATGTGGTGAAGATAACCTAGGGATGAAGATGTGAAAGTACAGTAACATTTAAAAATCTAATCATATTTTGTGCCATCTAATCAGTTCTGACTTCGGGCAGCCCTTTTCAGGCTATCATAGAATCAAGTCCAACCCCCTGCTCAAGGCAGGAATACAAATCAAAGGAGATCAGCCAGGTGGTTGTCTAAGTTTCTCTTGAATGCATCCAGTGTCGGAGCACTCACCAACTCCCGAGGTCACTGGTTCCACTGTCGTACTGTTCTAACAGTCAGAAAGTTTTTCCTGTGATTCAACTGAAATCTGTCTTCCTGCAACTTGAGCCCATTGCTGTGTGTCCTGTACACAGGCTCCATCCTACCAAGGTCAAGCTGTTACCATCATAAATTTCTTTCTGTTGTGTAGCATGTAGCATGAATCAAGTAGCATGAACCCACCGGATGGGACCCTGGAGTAGCGGAAAACAAGCTGCCATAGGACCTCTCTGTCTTCCTTTCTCCAAAGTGAAAATATGTCCTTTCCTCTCAACCATTCTCATCAGGCTTTGTAATGTGGTTGTGTTTAATTCAAGCCTGAAGGGAACCAACTCCTGCAACTCCTCCTAAAACCGAGGTCCCTGGATGTTCTTGGACCATAACTCCCAGAAATCCTGCTGAGCATCAGTGGTGAAGGCTCTTGGGAATTTTAGTCTGAGAACATCTGGTGACCCAAGGTTGCAAGCCACTGCGAGCATCACTAGTGGTGAAGGCTTTTGGGAATTTTAGTCTGAGAACATCTGGCGACCCAAGGTTGCAAGCCACTACCCTACCACAACTTATCCATCACTCCTTGTTCCTCAAGGAGAGGACAATCGAGGCTTGATGTATTTTGGAGTAAGTGCAGTAGATTCACTGGGAGACGATATCATCACCACCTTAGAACTACGGAGCTGGAAGGGACCCTGTGAATTATCAACTCTAGCCTTTATCAAGGAGGCAGAATGGAGGAATCAAAATCCACAGCCAAGGACTACCTAAACCACTGAGCTATCCACGATTTGTCCTCTGGTACCAGCCCAGCCTGTATTGGATTTTACATTAGATAGATATTTTGCCCGGCAACCTGCAAACCATATCTTGTACACTCTGATTTATATATTTACCCAAATGTATTAACATTCCATATATTTCAGCACTGGCAAGTACATGTTGACCTGATTTTCTATAATAATGCTGTGCTGCATTAGGTATTTATTCAGAGGGCGTGATGACACGATGGACAAATATATAATCTCCAACTGTATATGTTATTATGGCACTTTATTTTTCTGCTGATGGTAGCGGATCCACATCGCAATGTTCTCGCAAGACGAATCCACTTATATTTGAGGGCCTTTGAAATCATGACGATAATAACAGCACGGCTGACTAGTGGATGGGGGGACGGGTGGGTGGTGCCTCGTGCCTTTTGTTTACTTACGAACCTCTGGACCATTGGCGCATGCCTCTAAATCCCAGAAGTTTTTAACATTTCTGGAGTCAGACCGGATGTTTCGGGGAAAAGGCCGTCAACGGCTATACCGTCTGCTACATCATGGTATTGTTGGACATGCGTGGTCTTGGTAAGGTGTGGACCTGGTTAATATCTGTATAGGTTTGATTGCAGAAAGGATTTCACAACCCGTTGCCCAAGGGAGAGTTGGCTACCTAGAGCACCTCTTTCACTAGCTGTGTACATGAAGATCCTCCATGACGGTGGTTCACAATCTGTGGAGCAAGGCACTCCGGGGCACCACCGAATCCTCTACTCAGGCTTCCTTCTCCCTGCCATTCACTCACCCAAAGGAGACGTGGTGGCCGGTGGCCAATAAGTTAAGGGAGACATGAGTTGATGGGGCACTACCAAACCCATCCAGGGGCACCGCCAAATCCTCTACTCAAGCTTCCGTCTCCCTTCTCCCTGCTAAAGGAGGCATGGTGGCCGGCGGCCAATAAGTTAAGGGAGACATGAGTTGAAAATGTTTAGGAGCCGCTGCTCCATAGGATACTGGCCTTAGCATTTAAGGATGCAAAGTGGCAAAACGATACGTAAGGTCAAGCTCCAACTCTTGCCCACCATTGGGCAGAGATCATCGGTTGATGACGTGCCTTGGGAGCAAAGACAACATCTTAACCCTGCACTCCAAAATTGAAAATTTGGGGGCTAGGTGTGCTTTCTCTCCTTGATCATCTCCTCTCTTTTTTTTCTCCTTGGCCTTCCTGCAGGTGTCGGGCACGACCCCCGAATGCTCCATCATGCTGGCCATTGAATTAGAACGAGAAAAATGCTTGAAACTGTCCGACTCGGATAACCAGACTTTAGGTAAGAGGGGTGAGAAAGGTGTTGGTCTCTCTCTATATTAGATGCTCCAGGTTGCACCTTAGGGCAGTGGTCCCCAGCCTTGGGCCTCCAGATGTTCTTGGACTACAACTCCCAGAAGCCTTCAGCACCCCCTCTGCTGGACAGGATTTCTGGGAGCTGAAGTCGAAGAACATCTGGAGGCCCCAAGGTTGAGGACCACTGCCTTAGGGCACCCATCATTCCATCGTTCTTGCAAGCCATGCGCCGTAGTTATGAGAGCACCCTTTCCAACACGTCATTCCATCGTTCTTGCAAGCCATGTGCCGTAGTTATGAGAGCACCCTTTCCAACATGGAGATTGCTGGGAGAGGTTTAAATTTTACAAACTTGGGGGAGTCTTAACATTTATGAGATTCCTTTGCCTTGGGGTCAACGTTGTCTCCGTTTCTGGGGAAATAGGATATTTAGGGGAATGGCTGGAGTTCACCCCATTGATCAAGCGTGTGCCTCCTATCCCAAAGGTCCAAGAGGTTCAAGCCTTGGCACCTCCACTTAGGGAGAAGGAGAAGGTCCTGCTGCCAGTCCGTGTCATCACTACTAGGCTAGATGGCCCACCAGTCTGAGTTACAAGAAGGACCTTGCTATATTCTTTGGTTCCTCTGCTTTGGGATCTGCAGCCATCAGCCCTTCCACGTGGACCTCCCCAAGTCACTAGATATTCATCAGAAAGGGGAGGTTTTCAAGCATGAATATATATATTTTCATGCTTGATCTCCTGAATGTGTAAACTGGGGAGGTTTTCAAGCATGAATATCTATCTATCTATCTATATATATTCATGCTTGATCTCCTGAATGTGTAAACTCTTAGAAATTTCAACGTCAGGTGGAGTGACCAACCTGTGTCTAGATTTGGACGGCAGGTGGAATCGCCTAATTTAAATGCAAACTGTTTGGGGTGGGGGGAAACTTCCAGCTGAGAAAATTGTCATTTTGACAGGGCTAAGATGGTGCTGTCTAGCACCAGTGCTAGAAAACAAGATAGGTTGATTCCTCTCCCCCATGTGAAGTGCTTTTAAAGCCTGTGTGTTCGTTCTCAGCTGGCACCAAAATTCTTCGGCTCAATTCCGTGCTGTTTCCTCATGCTTTGTGTCCACCACCCTTGACTGCCCGGTTTCTGTGACATCTCAAGGACTTGTCCCAGTGGGATCACAAGGATCCACTCCTTGATCTTAAGGGTCATCCCTGAAATCTCAAAAAATGTGATCCTGTCGACTTGACAGCCTGAGAGGCAGCAGAAGAGTGTAGGAACGGTTGTGAGCTCTGGAAACAGAGGAGTGTTTCAGTTATTAGGGGTTGAGCAGGTGTGTTTAACTTGCCTTCCCTTTGTGCTTCTTCTGAGTCACCAAACTCGTTTTTGTGATTATAAAGCCAGCTTAAGAGCAGTGACAGAGATGTCTGCAGAATAAACAAACAGTTCTTTAGGTTGACGTCAGCCGGTGTGGACCTTTTCCTGGTTTCCTTGAGAAGTTTAAGAGTCTCTTGCCAGGCGCAAAAGGAAACTTGGGCATTTAGTCATTTAGTAACCCACCGGACATGATATAAAACTTTCTCCTTCCCTGGGAAAACCAGCCTCAGGAAGAAATCTCAGGAATGTACAGTTCTGGCCCCATCCACCATAAACCCCACTTTCCTGCTCCCCTTTGGGTGAGTGCTGCTTACGGATGGATGGGGCGTGAATCAAATCTGTGATGGAACTGTGTTTACAGGAGGAGGATCTGCAGAAGAAAGGCTGTGAAGGAGATGGAGGGCACAACAGTTTTGTTGTGCTTCATTTTCAGCGGCTTACGGGCAACCACACATTTCAGGACCCTGGCTGGCTTCAGCCTCCATGCGGTTTTTCAGTTTGATAGAGCAGAGGGTGTCGCTCTTACATCAAGAGATGGGGAGCAGGCAGGTGAACCCTGCTCGTGGAGACCTTCGTTCCTCCCATTCTCAAGCCACTTCCCTTCCTGTTGGGAGAGCGAACCGGCTGGACGTCTACCTTATGCCGGGTCCAACCCCATGCCTCTTGTCATCCGGTGGATCTCAGGTTGGGGGAGACCGGGGATTTCTGGGGGTCTCTCACCCAGTCCGCCAGGCTTGTCCTGGGACAGAGGACAGTTTAGTTCCTACAGTAGAAAGAGTTTCCCACCCAGGTTCTAGACTGGCCCCTGATCTCTTTCAGATGAGGCCTTCCTCCTTCATCCTGGGGTAGGTGGTGAGGTTCTTCCTACTTAGTTAATCTTCAGAAGCTTTTCCCTACATGTCTCCACCTTCTGAGTTAACACCAGTTATTGCTGGTGTACTGGGACGGGGGCATGCAGTCCTCTGGATGTAATTTTAGCTGCAATTCTCGTTATCACCTGCCATCAGCTCTGCAGGCTGTGGACGATGGGAGCTGCAGTCCAACGGCATCTTCGAGACCTGACCAGTCGGTGCCATTCCCCCCCACTTCATTATTATTTATTGTTATTTATCGATTTATTTGGTTCCTGTACTGCCCATCTGACTGACGGTTACTCTTAGCAGTGTGCAGCGGTGACAACCACGTATAATGCCATAAACATAATTAGAAATTAAATTGCAATTGAAATGAACGTTACATTTAAAAACACGGGAGATTCAAAGATAATAGGCTAATACACTCGGCGAGCTGTTCAGATGGGATATTTTGGGAAGCATAACAATGTGGATGATTTTGCAATAGTAAACATTTCTTCTATTTGGATGATGGTGCAATAATAAGCATGCCTTTTATTTGGATTATTAGGCAATCATAAACATAAGATGTTATGAGATTCTTTGGTCATGAGATTCTTGTGGATGAAAGCATCAAATAGATAGGAATATACTGTGTTTTTTTTTCTGGGGGTCCCAAAAAGTGTCCTGTCCCACCAAGAACACACCTGATCTCATCTGGTTTGGGAAACTATACACCTAGGAAGGAAGATTCATCCCCACCCCAGCTGGCGTGTGGATTTCAGCTAAGCTCAGAGTAAATGAGGAGAGGGGATATAGTATTTACACCCCTGTCATATAATACTAAGATAACACTCAGGGGTTAATAGTAGGAGCCTCGTGGCACAGTGGTTAAACTGCAGTATTGCAGCCGAAAATCTGCTCAGAACCAAGGTCCAACCCTAGGTTGCTGGCTCAAGGTTCGCTCAACCTTCCATATCCAAGGTTTCCACCAGTTCTTGGACGACATGCTGGCAATCCCTCGGTCCTCTTGGTTCCTCTTTCCTGGTTTCTCTTTTGAGAGCACACTTAGCTGAGTCTAGTGGCACAGTGGTTAAGCTGCAGTACCGCAGCCAAATCTCTGCTCACAACCTAAGTTCAACGCTAGATAGCTGATTCAAGGTTCGCTCAGCCTTCCATCCTTCCAAGGTCGGTAAACTGAGTACCTGGCTTGCTTGACTGACAATGTGTCGCCTGTGTAATTAAACTGTAAACCATACAGAGAGTGCTTTAAGTGCTATGGGGGGTGGTATATAAGCCGCATGCCTTCGCAGTGGCTGTCTTCCGTCACTCCTGCATCGCACATGATCCCCAAGCTTGCACGAGTGTCAAGGGCAGTGCTGTAGCGGAATGTGAGTTTGGAAGTGGTGCCATCAGAAATCGATTCCAAGTAGGCCAGCGCCTCCCAGCAGACCTTGCAAGAGGAAGTAGGCCAGGGCTACGGCTCTCTTTGTTGCTTGGCTGCTTTTTTCTCTAAGGTTTGGTTAGGCTGAGCAAGAAGATGCTTTATCTTCCTTCTTAACAACAAGCTGTGTTCAGCGTTGTCATCAACCAAGACTTGAGAGCGATGCATTTTGCTTCGCGCCATCTCCTCTTGGCTTCTTACGGTCCTTCACGATCTCACAGAGGGGGCTTTCCCCACATCCTCTTTCCATCTCCCCATGCCTAAGGGTCAACTAAGGCTGCCTGGTCAAGAGCACCCTGTTCCTTGAGGTTTCCGGGCCAAAAGCTAAGGGCAGGCCCTTGAGATGCCATTGGGGGGGTTGCGGGTGGGCGAACAAGCCAGCATCAATGATCAAATGGGACGTGTGTGTGACTCTAGACTGTAGAAATTCCACGATGAGGGTCAGCGTATTAACTCCAGCAATAGCAGCAGCTCTGGAGCACAGATGATAATGAACAGACAAAGGGACCTCTGAGCATGTCTACATAGAATGACACACATGCAAAATCTAGAGCTGCCAAGCAGGCAGCATCTACTGTAGTTCCCCGAGGTTTCTGTCCAAACCCTAAGATCTAGAGCCATGCTTCCCAACCTGGGGTCTCCAGATGTTCTTGGACTACAAATCCCAGAAGCCCTGGCCAGCACAGCTAGTCACGAAGGCTTTCTGGCGGCTGCAGTCCAAGAACATCTGGGGACCTTCCCAAGGTTGAGAGCCACTGATCTAGGGAAGTAACTCAAAAACTACATCTTGGGGCCAGAACAACACTAGATTTGACGTGGTTCCTTTGACCACATTTCTACAAATGCCAGAATACATTAGCCAACGTAGTTCATAGATACCCCAGCTAAGTTATTCTGGTCATTATAGTCTCCCCCAAAAGTAGATTTTCCCATTTCCCCTTTTGATATTCCATTTAGCTGGGGGCAAAAATCTGTCAGTTTTGTTCCTCTTATGTTTCTCAATACCGGACGGGCGTTTGCGGCCTGTCCCAATTCTGTAGTGGGTTCTGAGACTTCCTCCCTCTTTTCGCATGAATTTCTATTGCCTATTTTGGCGTGTAAATGTTTGTTCCCTCTTCAAAATGTCAGAAGGCACAGATTTTGAAACACAATAGAATCCGTTCCGTTCCGAGTCTCGGGAGCGACACAATAGAGATTTCTGCGCGGAAATCTAGATCTACCGGTATTTCTTTTCTACGCCTGCTTAAAATGCATTTCTGCCATCGCAGCCGGAAATCAAAGATATAAAGCCCTTTTGCAGCCCCAAATCTAATAAACAGCTTCGTTGGCAGGTAACG